CATGAATTAATTGTGAGGAAACCAAATTTTTTGAAATATTTCTGTCAATAGCATCGTATAGTACTTACTTTCACTTTTCAAATCCACTTTTGATTATCGTCGCACAATTTTTTTTCGCTCAGATATACAAATATAAAGTTATAAGAAAATTTACGTTAAAAAAGATTTACATAAGCATCAATATGACAGATCCACCATTTTAAAATTTGAAAAGGCTTACATATGTCAGATTCTATTATCCAAAAAAGTTATGTAAAAATATATCTAATACAGTTGTTACACATTTTGATAAATTTTTATAAATTTCATACCTTTTTATTGTGATTCTGTCCACCATATTGGATGCACCATTTTTAATTTCATGAAATGACAGGCGGCGTTCAAAAATTTATATTTTTACCCAAATTTTGATTCGAAATAAGACAGAGAGGTTGAATTAGAATGACTTATTAGACCACTATGCATAACCATTATACAGTCTTACAATTTGTATATTTCATCGAAAAAAAATCGTGCGGCACACACACACACACACACACAGCAATCGAAAATGGATTTGAAAAATGAAGATTAATATTATGCCATTGGCAAAAATATTTCAAAAAATTAGGTTCTCTCATAATAAATTCATGAAATTTGCCGAAAGAGCCATTTTTTGGACTATTTAACAAATTAGAACGACAAATCAAAAACCTGACATGCTAGAGAAATTCTGCGACTAGATTCGTTTTCAGCTTCAAAAAATCTATCAGATTCACTTACTCTGCTTTTTGTAACTAACTAAACTTCGCAGGCTTGTGTATTTAATTTTGACTTTATGGATTGTTAAAGGTTTTAGAATTTTAGACGCAATAAGAGACACTTTAACTTTATAAAATGTTATAGCTTTATTAATCACGCCTTATAGACATGTCTTCACTCTTGAGCGCGCGGAGCCAGAGTGAGAGATAAGAGAGAGCCCTCGCAGAGCGCTCGCTCGCCTAGACAAAGAAGTACACATACATTATATATATATATATATATATATATATATATATATATAATGTTTAAACAAAAGAGGACATAGATGGCCGTCATAATCTGTTTGGTTTCTGTCTTATTATTTTTTCTTTTTGACACTCCCTCCCGACCGTTCTATTGTCATCTAGTCGAGCTCTCTTAATTACACAGTCTCTGCTTTAATCACCGTACCTCTGACTCTGCCCGGTTCAGCTGCTCTATTTATTTATTTTCTGTAAACATAAGAAATCAAGTATTAGTATTCATTAATTTGTGTATTAAATATTTATGTAATTCAAATGACAGAGGTTTTGTGAACACATCAGCCAACTGTTCTTTAGATTTATCCATTTTATCTTAATTAACCCTCTCTTCACACATTCTTTAATATGATGTTCTTTAATTTCAATTATATGTCTAAGTTTATTTCCCCCGTTAGTTTCTGCACTAGCTAATGCAGCCTTGTTATCGCACCATAGAATCATAGGGAAAAAGGGCTTGATTAAAATCAATTTCAAGGAGTTATACGTAGAGAGCATTTCTTGACTCGCCTCGCTCATAGCTACGTATTCCGCATGACACGTTGACAAAGCAATATATGACTGTTTGTGAGTACGCTAACTTACTGTATCACCAAATAGTTTAATCGCATATCCACAAGTTGTTAGTGCATTTTTACAGTCTTCGAAGCTCGCATCTGAGTAAGTTTGGATATCATCAGTCTCACCTCGATAAACTAACCTCATTGTTTTTGTACCTTTTAAGTATCTAAAAACTTTTTTGATCATAGTCCATTCATTTTGTGTGGGATTTAGTTGGTGTCTGCTCAAGACATTAACAGCATATATTATATCTGGCCTTGTCGCACCTGCCAAATATAGTAAACTTCCAATAGCTTCTCTATAAGGAACCTTTTCTTTCGTTTTTGTCTCACCTAAATTTTCATCATTGTTCTCCATTTCTCTCTCCTTTCTTTTTCGATTATTTACTTGAGTTGTATTCATTGGAGTTCTCTGTGGATGCGAATTTTCAAAGCCAAATCTGATTAATAATTTATCTATATATTTCTCTTGATTTAGTTCAGTAATTCTATTTTCTTTGTCACGTTTGATGGAAATATCCAGGAATTCTTTTGATTCATCTAAAATAGACATCTTAAATTCTTTATTCAGTTTTTTTATTACCTCACCTAATTTGACTTCATCATTGCTTGCAGCTAGAATATCATCTACATATAGTAACAATATTAAAAATTTCTCTCCTTCTCGTCACGTAAACAAGCAAGGTTCCAAATCTGAGTTTTCTATGCCTAAGCTTAGTCCCACCTCTGTGAAGTTTTCGTTCCAACATTTAGGACTGATACGTAATCCATACATCGCTCGTTGTAATTTACACACGTACTCATCTCTGTCCTTGTTTGTGTGACACGTTCCTTCTGGTATTTCCATGTAAATTTCTTCTTTAATCTCACCATTTAAAAACGCTGTTTTAACGTCTAGTTGACACGTTATTAAATTGTATTTGTTGATAATAACCAATACAGCTCGAAGGTGAGTCTTGACACAGGTGCATACGTTTCTCTCAATTCATAATCATTGTTATCTTTGAATCCTCGAATAACTAAGCGTTTTTTGTATCTCATCTTTCCATCGGCTTCAGTTTTATGTTTAAAGACCCACCTAGAATCTAATATATTTACTCTCTGACCATTTTCCATTAGAACTGGACGTTTAACTAATTTACATACTTTGTTTTTCTTCATAGATCTTAACTCATCGTCAATAGCATCCTGCCAAAGTTTATTATCTTTAGTGTGCATAGCATCTTTGTAATTAAGTGGATCAGAATTTATGTTAGCTAGCATAGCATGGACAACTTCATCGTTTGTTTGATCGATCTCTGTTTCTATCTCACCGTGTCATAAATTCGTAAATAATGCTCTTGTTTTTAATTTCTCATTGATCTGTAAATTGTCAAAGCTATTATCGTTCACGGTCTCGTCTACTTTATTTGATTTAGCTTTCTTGTGTTCTGTTTCGGATTTCCTCGGTCTACTCCTTTTCCTCTTAATCTCTCCCTCCGTTTTTGACAGTTCTATTAACTCATTCTCACCTATTATCAGATTGAACTGACTCATTATCACCTTTATCAAATTGAACGAACCACTTTTCTTTATTAAGATCTTTATTCGGTTGGGAAGTCTTTAATACTGTTTTTAACAAATTTGTCTCGGTAAACTAATTTTTTGTTAAACCTTACATCTCTACTTTCGTAATATTTTCCTTCCTCCGGTCTTAAGAATTGATATCCCATGGGTGTATAACCAACTAGAATAACTCGCCTTCCTTCCGCTTTAAATTTCGGACCTGTTTTTCTTTAGACTTTAATATACGCAACACATCCAAATCTTTTTAGTTGATTAATGTCAAAGTTATGATGTGAATTGAATTTTACTAACGGTAATCATATTATTTGAAAAATGGGGTGTGCGATTATAGGCGTATACAGCTGCTGAGAGAGCTAAGTCCCATAGATACTCTGGTAGTCCTGAATCATATACATACGATCTCACCTTCTTCTGTATCGTTTGATTGAACCTTTCAGACACACCATTTAACTCAAGAATATTGGGAGGTGACAATTGCAATTCCGCGCCTAATTTATTTAAAACTTCAATTGTGTATCCGTCTACATACTCTTTGCCTTGATCAGATCTTAAATAACACCTTTGCATCATACCCCAATAAATTTCTCGCACTTCGCACAAACATTTCTAACAATGTCCTACTTCGCATTTATTTTTTATGGGATATGCCATTGCTAATCGCGAATGATCGTCAATGAACACAGATATAAATCTATACCTTTTAAGATATAAAGATGGAGATATTGGACCCTTTATATCCGAATGAATGATTTGCAAAGATGTTATGAATTGAAAGGTAATTTCTTAAATTTAGATATCAAACACACCTTACAATCTAATATTGATTTATCAAAAATGGCATCATTTAATTCTTTATTATTTGGAAATTTTGATTGTAAGGCTTTCAGGTAGGCTAGCGACGCATGTCCTAACCTTACATGCCACAGCAAGGCTTTACTATTTTTATTAAAAATTTTATTCTCATCTGAAAATGGAAATTCGCCATCATTTAATTCAAATATAGGTAGTTCATTAACGTCATGAAATTTTCGGTCCCAAATAGTCACGTCAAAATTTGATTGCTTATATGATGCATTTCTTGGTTTATCATATTCGTTTCAATCCGACATCTCATTTGAACTTACTTTATTCTCGCCTGAACCTTTTAAACTCTCGTCTCTATTTTCCTGGCTTTCAACATCAACCGTAATTTTTCTTAAATTTTCAGTCTGCTGAATAGACTGTTTTTGTATCAAATCTTGTAATTTGGCTGTGACGCTTCGCGTGACATATTTATTTTCTGACAACCCTCCTTCAGCCAAATTCACAAATATTCGTCTATTAATTATTACAGATCTGCTTTTGTCAGTTGCGTTATTTGTGTTAATTTCTAAATCAACAATCCAATAGGGTTGCTTATATGTATACAGATATAAAACGCATTTGAAACAGGATCAAAAATATCTATTCTTTTATTATCCAAGTAAATAGCAAGTCCCATTTCGGCAAACTTACGCAACGATAATAGATTTTCTTTGAGTGCATTCGGGAAAATAACTTTGTCGATTTCTAAACTTTTATCATTTTCCAGACAAATTTCTATTTTTTCTACTCCCTCTGTTTTTAAATTCGCTGAGTTGTTTTTATTCGCGCATCTGATCTCACCACACTTTAACTCATCGAATGTTTTAAAAATCAATCTAGACTTGGTCAAATGTTCTGTCCCGCCCGAATCTGCTAGGAATTTTGTAACGCATCTACCTAGATCTGATTTACATTCTACTAATTATTTTTGCATTTTTCAACTAAGTTTTGTAATATATACTCACCTTTATTTTGATTTTGTTGATCCGATGGCTAGGATTTTTCTTCTTTTCGTCAACTTTTCCACCATTGCCCTTATTATTATTGTTTTTATAACTACCCGAACCTTTTGCACCCCTGAATCGACCTCTTTTCGAGAAATGTGTATGTCTACTTTCCATTTTCCTTTTCAAACCTCGCCTTGTAAAACCGCCTCGAAACGCACCGCGATTAAGATTATTATTTTAGTTATACCTCACAGATCCTCTGCATCTACCCCTCGATGTACTTGACATGGATTCAACTTGGCTGGTACATTCTAGGGCCTTGTGCCCAAATTTCCGACATTTATAACATTGTGGGCCTTTTCCAATGTTAGGGCAACTTCCGGCCATGTGTCCATATGATTGACACTCGTAGCATCGTGGGCGGGGATTGCCCGATTAGACACAGTACGATTAGACACAGCCAATCATATCGACCGATGCCTAGGGTAACCAGCACGATCAAGCACGATTAGCCAATCAAAGCCAGTGTCCAATTGTACTGTGTCTAATCGGAGGTGTCTCTCGTGGGCCTGCTGACTGCGCTAAGTTAGCTGCCCGAATTTCACTCTTCTCACCTCCACTGGCCTGGTTTCGCGCTGCTTCATCCTGCATTACCAGCATTTTTAAATTTTCATACATCGGGTCGTTACCTTTGGTATTCTGAGTTACAAACTCTATTGTTTGCAAAGTTGGCACAGAGACTTTGACTGCATTGTAAAACAGATCTTTTCTCATCATCAGATAGAGGTATGGCATTCGGAGAGTTTTCGTAACTCCTAACAACATCTTCAAACCTTTCACTAAACTCTCCTGCTTTTTCTTTACCAATTATAAATTTCATATTGTATAATTGTTTTTTAATGTCGAAAGAAGTCACATTAATTCCACACCTTTTAATTTCTTTTAATTTATCTAAAATCTCAACTGGGTTACACAAGTGCATAACCTTAGAATGATAGTGGTTTTCTAAGCAGTTTATTAAAATATCCCGCACTTTGAATTTTTGTTCGTTTAAAATCTTTTCATCTACAATATCACACCTTATTTTTCCATCTATAACGTACAATAAATCAAATGATCTTAATTCAGAACTAAAGAAATCATAAAAATGTTCAAATTTCATATCTGATGTTAATTTGTAACCTCTTTTTACACCCATACCTTTATTTACTATTTCCAATTTTAATGTTTCTTTTATATCTTTAGATATTGAATTTATACCACTATCATTTGCTTTATTTTTCTCCGATCTCATAAAATCTTTACAACACTCTTTGACTATATTAGAGATTCTAACATTGAGATTTGTTTCCTCCGTAGGCCATACCTCGCCCTCAGTATTATCATCTTTTCCACTCACCTCTGGTTCTTCATAATTCAAGAACTGTTGTTTAGCTTGCAAGAGTGATTCAACCGCATCTTCCATTATGTTCATTGTTCTTTTCACTTCGTCAAATCAATGCTTCACATAGTCATCGCGAATCAATTGTTTTAATTCTTCAATACTTTTTAGACTTTGCCTCTCCTTTTTGCTCTGTGCCAATTCTTATTTCACCTCCTGGATAATTTTTGTGAACTGCTCCATCATTGTGGCGGAAGCGAAACACATTTTCTCTACTGTTTTGATTAGTTCACTGACTTTGCATTCCTGTGACTCTAATCTCGTCTCAACTGATTTTATATTTTTATTTTTAATATCTTCAATCGCATTTGTTGTAGATATATGTTGATTATTTGAAAATATATTTTTGAAGTCGATCTTGGTTTTTACATTGCTTTTAATTTGAGGTTGGAATTTACCTGATTTTATCGCGTTAACTATTGTCTGTTGTGTTATATAACTCGCCTCAGTTTTCTCATCTTCTTCTCCTCTCTCACTATCTGCTAGATTCGCCTCCATCTCTTCACTCTCCTTCTCTCCTATCTCTCCTTTATCCGCGACATCCCCTTCCTCTTTTGCAATAGCTACGCGCTGCTCCGAGATGATCCTAGGCATTGCAAGTGGCTGGCCAGCTAATAACATCTCTTCTCGCCATTCTAGCAGACTTTCCCATGAACGCTCAGGTAACATTCGTTTTTCTGTGTAAATTCAAAATTTAATTAATACACTTGCATTTATTTATTTATTTATTTATTTATTTATATTACAAAATGCCTATGGATCTTATTCTGAAACCAGACCGAACAACAAATATGGCTAATCTCAAAATGAACAGGTTCGCAAGGACCCGAACACAAGGCCTCTCCCGAGCCTGCCCTAATCAATCAGATCGAGTGATACCGAACTCAAGCACACTCTTCCCAACCGATTCTCAGAGTTGTAGATGTATTTTTTTTTATTAATTATTGTTATAATTAAAACATCGTTAGTTTAATTTGTAATATTGTTTTAAGTTAACTTAATATGTATTCTTTTATTAATTATTATGCGTTATATGCTAGCTTATGAATGCATATGCACTTCATATATATATATACGTATATTTATATTTCAATCTCATATTTGATTTCTCGTCTCTCATCTAATCTCACCATAAACCCACCTGTAATGTACTCTCCACCTAACTCAGTAATTATAATTAGCGCCTCTTCTTTTATTTCAATATAAATGTCTTCTCCTTTGTGATTTTGATTCAATTTGAACATTTGGAACAAATCCGGTTGTTGTACAGCTGTAAACATTTATTTTATAAGTACTTATTTTTTTTCACAAAGTTGTTTTAAATTCGAATCATTAAATTTAATTTAGTTCTCATCTCTTTGTGCACAACCTTTCAATATACCGTAAAAAATATACCGTATAAATATTTGTATATACTCATGTATCGTCTTTCGCCTATTTGTTTTTTTTTTTCTTTCTTCCGAGTCAAAGACTTCGCTAGGACGCGCTAGCACAAACACGCTCGCCCTGAAGAGAGTTTATGTTTACATCGCGCGGCATCACTATTATTCTATCCTTCTCTCCTTTGTGCGGGTGTGCCGGTCGGCCCTTGTTTCGCGGGTCCGAGAAATCGGCAACAATTTTCTTTCTCTCGACACGTTTCAACTCGCCTAACTATAGCGCGCTTTTTAATTTTCGCACCGATTTTCTTAATTATTAGCGAATTTCACACCTGACATTATTTCGCTTTTGCCCAATTTCACTCGCGCCTCGATTTCTTTCACACTGCTGAATTTCGATTAGCTCACCCATCTATTTGTACATATCGAAATCACCATCGCGTTTGCGCTAAAAAACTCATCTAATTCGCAACACGCATTCCCGTGAAAGAAAGATTGCTTATATACTCTGTCTTCTTCTTAGCTTCCTCCTCAGTATTAAAGATTGCTTATATACTCTGTCTTCTTCTTAGCTTCCTCCTCAGTATTTTGTTGCTGAAGATTCATGTCGTCTAAAATTGCTCTAGTGAAGCTTTAACAAAAAAAAAAAAGAACACCAACTTCCGAACAGCTTACTAGCAATCCTCGCCTTCCCGTCTTGACTCTCCTCTTTTTTTTTTTTATTTTATTCCTCACTTTGCACTCGCGCGGTGGAAGCGTAAAAAAAGCGTTACGCGCCTGGGCCCATAACCTGTTAAAGGTTTCAGGGTTTTAAACGCAATAAGAGACACTTTAACTTTATAAAATGTTATAGCTTTATTAATCACGCCTTATAGACACGTCTTCACTCTTGAGCGCGCGGAGCCAGAGTGAGAGATAAGAGAGAGCCCTCGCAGAGCGCTCGCTCGCCTAGACAAATAAGTACACATACATTATATATATATATATATATATATATATATATATATATATATACACGAGTATAATGTTTAAATAAAAGAGGACATAGGCGGGCGTCATAATCTGTTTGGTTTCTGTCTTATTATTCTTTCTTTTTGACGTGGATCGAATTTTTTTTTCATTTAACGTTATTTTTAATATTCTTAATGATTACAAAAGAATTGTATTTTGAAAATCCTATGGAGGCCAATAAACGCACTAAGTGAGCATTCTCTCCTTTGGATACTTATTTATTTACAAGGATCATTTCTTGATTTCTCATATATGTTATCATTTATCAAGGTCATCATTCTGAATAATGTTGTAAAAGTTTTAATCGCCGGTGGTGTACTAAAAAATTATGAACAAATTATAAAAAACATCTAATAAATAATGCGTAATTTTATGACACCATATACATTAAAAATGTTAAAAATGAGTTTTGCTTCGTCTTGCAAAATACATGTCTAGAAGTATGAATTCCGCCTGCGAAAGATTCCACTTCCGAAAGATGTAACTTAACACGAACCTATTTCTGATTTAATACCAAATTTTAATTGTAATTAGTAATTAGTAGTAGTTAGTAGTAGTAAGTAGTAGTTAGTTGTAATAATTAGCAATAAAAAGGTTCTTAAGAATTAAAGAGTTAGTATAAAGCAAAATTTTATTTATTTATTCATATTAATTTTTTCTCTTTATTCTATTTTATTTATTTAATTTTGCGCATGAATAGATTTTTAAAAAATTTTAATTCGAGTATTATAAATATATTTTGTTAACAGTTTACTATCTCTTTTTTACGTAAAAAATAAAAAAATATAGCAAGAGGACGAGAAATATTCTCGCCCATGTTTGAATGTGCAAGAGAGCCAAGGATTTCGACTCTCAAGCTTTCTTTCCAGAATGACGAAGACGAATGTCGACCCGTGCGCAGGATATCGAGAGCTCAGGCTCCGACCCCGATCGGACTGAACCTCGTCCATTTTTCTCTATATCCCCAACCTTTTTTCCTTCGGTAAGCGGTAGCTGGTTAAGTGCCCAGGAAGAACGATGAGAAGGTTCTTCTCTGATAACGACTAAAAGAGCGACCCGGCTCGTCTGTCCTATCTTGCCACGATATTTTTCCAAGAATAATCTTACCTATACCATTTCTTCGTGTTGTCTCGTCGATAAAACGCGAATATAGTCTCACCTGAATTATTGAACAGTAAAATATAAACAAACTTTGGTTTGTTTTCGAGGAGTAAAGCGATACGTGATTATAATCTTTTTATAATGTTGTGTATATGGCGATATATGTATATACATAAAATAAATTACATATTATGATAAAAATAATAAACACCATTTTACACTGAAATATAAACAGTTTTTGTAGAACATCATATTCGTGGAAATATAATTACGTATATTTAGGAACTTAAAATACACATGCATCTATTCTCTCTCTCTCCCTCTCTCTCTCCCTCTCTCTCTCCCTCTCTCTCTCCCTCTCTTTCTCCCCCCTCCCTCCCCCCCTCTCTCTCTCTCTCGCTCGCTCGCTCGCTAAAAATTCAAGTAAAGTGTGGAAAACTTGCAAAATAAAAACTTTGGTTTCCAAACGATTTTTTTCACGAGATCATTGTTGATCGCAATTATCTTATAAGTATATTGCTTTTCTGCGAATAGGCAAATAAACAGAAGAAAAAAGAAGAATTCGTACAAAAAGAAATTAAACAAAGAATGTGTATGTTCGAATTCTTTATATAGAATATAAAGATGGGGATGAAAAAAGTTGAAAAAAAGCAGAAAAACTAAGGATGCAACTATAGAAGATTCGAACGGAAAGATTAGATAGGATTACGGTTGTACAGCATTTCCAAAAGAGACCGTTAATCTTGTGAAATTAAATGAAAGATAAATAAATGAAGGATCATCAAAATTATTGAAAAGGGAAAAAAGAAAGGGACAAACGAAAAAATAAATGAGAAGATAAGAGAAGGGAGAAAAGAAGAGATGAAAGAAGAAGACGGAATAATTAATATGATCATCAAATTGTTAATTCCAAGTTGTTAATTATTTTAATCGCTAACCATCACACCTCCGTATAGCATTAAGCACAAAGCGAAAATTTCTATTTTCTTTCACCCCGAGATTGTCTGAAGAATATCCTTTTTTTCTACCATCGGCGAGCGAAGCTTCAGCTTTTTTCGAGCAGATCAACGAAGAAAATCGAAAAGAAAAAAAAACAAGGAAAAGAAGCATTTCTTCCGCGATAATTATTTCCATAGAGACTTGGCATCGTCTTAACAAAGATACAGTAAATGCCAAAATATATTAAAATTAAGAGTGCGCTTCAAACTGTAAACTGTACTTCGAAACAAAGTACAATCTGTGTTTAATTTATTATTAAATTTATATTAAAACATGACACTTTAATAATATTATAATTCTTAAATTCAAACAAGTAGAAAACTAGAAATCTCTTACACGAGTAAAAAATCTAAACATTTATTTTTACAAATTGTAAAATTTTTCATTCCAAAATATTTATTCCAGAATGAAAAGTTATTTTTATTCTTAGTTTTACCAAAGATAGAGAATATTATTGCATAACAGTCATTGAATGTCTTGCCCTTGAGTTGCATAAATTTTAAAATTCGGAATTTAATTATTCGGAATGTAATTCCTTACAGAATATACAAGAGCTTACTTATTATGCAACTTAGCCTTTGATCAAGAACATAGGAGTATGCGTAACGTAAGTGAAAGAATTTAACGAAATAAAAATAGAAAAATAAAGCAAAATCAAAAAAAAGAAAAAAAAGTTAAAAAATATGTTGTCGTCGGCGGTCGCTGTGCACTTGCAAATATATCGCATAAGACTCAAATAATTGCACTCTTCCCGCACGAGTTTTCTACCTCTTTCGTCTTCGTTCGCCCCACAGTTATCTACTATATGTGCGCACGTCCATGCGCACGTGACTGCATATATGCCCGCATGTATCCTCTGTATGTATACATATATACATGCTTGGCACGAGAGGCGAGAGGATTCGATTCCTCTCTAGGGAGTTATACAAGAAAAAAAAATGGAAATGGCAGAGAGATAGAGATAGAAGGAGAAAGAAATATCGAAATGGAAGAAAACGGTTGCGAGAACGACATGACACAATTCGAGATTTGAAGAAGAAGAGCTAGGAAAGGGAGATTTTGCTAGAGAAAGGGACATTGGGACGCTCATAACAAGTCTCTCCTGTCTCATCGCAATGGGCTTTCGGACGGTCGAATAGGGATGAAGACTCACTGTACTCCAACGAAAAAAAGGGATGTGAGGATCAGTCAGTAAGAGAAGTGGTGGCAGGATAAGGGATGCGCCATAAACAAGTGAGAGAAGACGAGCGGATATGATCGAACCGCGCGGCGCGTGATAAATAACCAAGGTTCTCGCGCTTTCCGTTCCTATCTCACTTTCGCTCGCTCCTTTATTTTTGTGTTTATCGCTGTCTTCCTCTTTCGATAGTTCTGTGGACACGAGCCGCCACTTAAGACCGTTTACAGGTCGAATCAAAAGATGTTTATCTGTTTTTCGGCATTTAACTAAAGTTCGCGGCTTCTTTCATAGTAAGGAATATTATCAGTGAATTCTAAAATACGGAACAATCTGTACTTTTGAGAGAAATTAGTCCTATTTATTTGCTCTATTGTTTTTATCAACTTAGAAAAAATTAATCATTAGTCGAATTATTGATGAATTTCAAATTCTCGATCATTTTTCCATCTATTATTTTTCTAACAATGTAATGGAATAAATATTTTCAATTTTGAATCGAGCAAAATTTATCGTCTGTATTCGTTCGGCGCATCACTGAATTTTTCGTCGAAAAAATGTTCAATATTTATCTTTTCACATAAAAATTTGAAACTTTACAAGACGTTAAAAGTAATCTAAAAAGTTATTATTTATATTAGATATAAATATATTTATGATAGAATATCATAAATGTAAAATATATGAAAATTGCAGATTTCTAGAAGTATTAAGATAAAAATCTTAAAAATCTTAAAAATTTATTTGTTATTCATTATTCGTTACGAATATACAAAAGACTAATTACACACACACGTGTGTGTGTGTGTGTGTGTGTGTGTGTGTGTGTGTATGTCAAAATCAATGCCAGACAGAGAGAGAGAAAATCCACGCAAAATATCTGCCCCGCAAAAAATATCGCGCCCGATAAATAATAAATCCCAAACAAAACCCGCACACGGCGCATCATCGGTAACGAAAGCCTCGCCCGTTCCATTACCATCGAATTACGCATGGCGGATATTAATTGACGTTGCATCTTCAATATCTCGTCGGTATCCCAGGCTCGATCCCGCTTCGATTTCCGATCGACGGAACATACGAATGGAAAAGTCTGGCTCTCACTCGCTCTTTCGTCTCGTCATCTTTTTGCCAACGGCTGTACCACCGTTGCGGCACGGAGTAACTCGGCTGCGCGCACGGCGTGGCTTGACGCGACGTAGTTTGGCACAGCCGCGGTGTGGCTCGGCGTGGCTCGGTATGGCTCGACGTGGCTTGGTATGGCTCGATGCTCGACGCGGTGCACGGCACCATTTATCGCGCGGGCTTGAACTCTTGGAACAGCGTTCGGCTGGCGCGACGCGGCACGTATCTACCATCGAGCACAGCAGGAACGAGGCTATTACGCGAGCGCGCATACATATCTACCCCGTAGCGAGGAAACGAGGCGATTCTGTGCGCGCGAAAGCAAGCGAGAGAAAGAGAGAGGAAAGCAAAGCGGAAAAGGGAGACGAAGAGAAATAGCAGTGGAAAGAGGAAACGAACGCGATAGAAAGCGTGAGGAAGTGAGAGACTGGCAGCAGGCAGGGAGGAAAAGCGAAACGGCACGGGGTGTTGAC